ATTAGGAAAAGCATTATTGTCTCCATTTCACACGCATGTAAGCAAAACTAACATTTGAAAGCCATTCTTTTTGGCTTCAGAGTGCTGCTTTTTCCTCCGTTAAAATCTGTGTTTATTAAAGTCTAGATTATTTGGAAAGCACTGGATTAGAGTGCTAATAAGTATCTCAGTACTTATTAGATGATTTTAAGTAAATTAACCTCTCTGGGCTTCAAATTTCTCATATATAAAACACATGTAATGAGGCTGAGGCAGGAGGATGGTGAGTTCAAAGCCAACCTCAGCAAAAGAGAGGCACTAAGTAAACTCCGTGAGACTCTGTCTCTAAATAAAATACAAAATAGGGCTGGGGATGTGGCTCGGTGGCCAAGTGCCCCTGAGTTCAATCCCCAGTACCCCCACGCCCCAAAAAAAACCTGTAGAACTTTGAAATCTGTTGTGTGAGCTAAATGACATTATGTCTGTATTGATCTATCTCAGTAACATGTCTGGTACATTGTATATGTCCAGTAAACTTTTTTTATTGAATAAATGAATGAAAAAACAGTAATAGTCCTACAAAATGGTGTCTTATAATAAGGGTTTTCAGCTGTAGCACTACTGGTCATTTGAACTGCACTCTTTGTTTTGGGGGCCTGACCTGGGCCTCGTAGGATGTTTAGCAGTATCCATAGCTGGCACCTGCTAGATGCCAGGAACAAGACCCCTTTTCCCACATGATCACAATCGAAAATAGCTCCAGGTATTGCCAAATGTTTCCTGCGAGGCGAAATTGATCCTCTTTGAGAGCCATAGACTTAGAGAGGACCACTTCTGTTTTAGAGACCACACAGTAACCATCTGTAAATAGTATAAACAGTTTAGTCATAGCATAAGTTTAGGTTTTGCAGGCCATATGAGCCTTGTTGCAACTACTCAGTTCTACCATGGTAGCTCAGAAGCAGTCACATACAACACATAAAAAGCAAATATTACTGTGTTCCAGGAAAACTTCACTCAAACAGGCCAGCTCATGGGCTCTAGTTTAGTGAATCCTCCTCTGGAACAAATGCAGAACAAACAGGAGTGGAGCCCCTTCTCTACACATAGCACACTGTTGTTGTGTCTTCCCAGGTTGGGACTGGCCTTACCACAGATGGGGATTTTGTCTTCATGTGGAATGTTTTAAGGGCCCCCAAATGCCTTGTATCTTATAGTCTAGACACAGTGCCTCTAACATCTCCATGAAAGGCTTGTCCTTCAGAGTCAAGCACAGCTTTGACGGATACCTTCCTCTAAAGAGTACATTTCTACAGGAAGACCAGAAGATAGAGCAGTTATGGGTGATGAGTACCTGCACATGAATGAATTGCTCTATTTAGAGGGAGTCTTGATTCTCTGTAGCCACTGAATGTAGGGCGAGAAAGTGAGGCAGAACAGACCAAGGAGGAAGGGATTCTCGAAGAGTGCATCTGAGCCCCTCAACACAAGCTTGGCTGACTCTGCATAGCTACTGATAAAGAATAACTCCAGTTTAAGTTGGAAAGGAAATGGCACAAGAGTCAACTCTATTATTTGGCAAGGCTGTAATTAGGCTTACAAATGGACCTTTATTAATAAGGAGCACTGAGATCCTTCTCTAAATAGTACCCTGCACCATTGTGTCCTCTGCCTGCAGGTAAAAGCATGTCCCTTGTTTCCAGCATGCTCTATATGTCTGCCTCAATAGAACCCACACATCAGGCTGACACAAACATGCTCTCATACTGCCACATTAGAATCCTTCACAAACAAGACAGTGGTGGATGGAAAGTAAGGAGTCTGAATTATTTGGGATTTACTGCCTTCCTTCATTTCATTCAAATTTACTTCTTGTTAAACAAGGAAAAATTTAAAAATATCTCTGACATGAGGGCACATTTTCTTTTTTCGTATTATTATTCTGGCTTCTTTTGCAGATGGGAAACCACTGATATATAAGAAGCAGGCATGAGTGGCTTTAAGAAATGCTTTTCAGAGTCTATCTCTTCTGTCCCTTTATTTCTGCCGGAAACATTGTTGTAATGGCTGGAGTTTTTGCAATCACCCTGTAATCAGGAGTTTGGGTTGCTGATGACATTACAAAGTTGCAATCAAGTCCTGGACATCATATCCTTGAACCTATCATTACAAAAGTGGAGGAAAAACATATCTTCATTAAGAAGCTATTTGGGGAGTCTTGTAACAACTATGGTAGCTTAAAGATGGCCACAATTTTTTTTTTCCATTCTTGTTGTAGAGTGGGAGAGATCCAGAGGAAAACTGGGATAAGGTGATCAACTGACTGCCAGCACTGGCTTTCAGCCAAGTATGGAATGTTCCAACCCACTCAAGTCTCCAGATAACCATAGTCCTTGTCAATACCAAATGGAGATAAAGAGTCACATGACTGAGCCCAGCCTTCCAGATGATTCTGGCTAATCTCCAGACACGTGGGGGAGTCCTTTCAGAAATACCATCCCATCAAGACTTCAGATAACTGCAGCCCCAGCTGAAACCACCCAGAACAGAAGAACCACCCAGCTAATCCCAGTCAGCCCATGTCACAAGAGGTAACAGGCAGTGGTAGTTATTGTAATGCACACCAGTGTAGTGACCAAAAGAGAGAAGTACACAGGATAGAATCATTCAGGGAAGTGGAAAAGGTGATCCTATCGAAAAACTCTACCCACTCACTTGAGCACATGAACTGAAACTTGGCCACTAATCCTGGGCTGTGGGTGGCTACGTGTCAATCCTAAAAACTTGAGGTCTCAGGCATGCATTCATTATTGAGAAATTCAGGGGCCTAATTCTCAGCCTCACTGCATGTTTCAAAAGCCCCTAAACAGAGAAACAAACCTGAAAGCTGCCTGGGAGTGGTAAGTCTTTAGATAACGGAACAAACCAATGGTGAGAGCCTTCCATAGATCTACCAGCATGAGTCATATGACATCTTCCCACTAAACATGATGCACTGGAAGGTAGAACTACAAAGTGTACAGAGAGAGCCAATGTATGACGTGCAATGCATGCAGCAAATGAAGAAAAAAAATCATATCCCCAGAGAATAAGCAACAGTGAAAGGGTAAAGGAACTTTGAAATTAATATGCTTAAAATGCTTAAAAAGATCAACAAATACGTAAGGTGCTAATGGGATATCATAAAAACATGGGAATAGTTTAATCAAAAACTCAACAGAGATTTTTAGAAGTCAAAAATAAAGTAATTAAAATTTAAAGAGTCTCAATGATGTGCTAAATAGTAGACTATGTGCCTTTAACAGCTCCCCCCAGGAACTAGTGACTTTAAAACCAAATCTAATGACTTACTTAAAATATGGCACAGAGATAAGGAGAGACAAAGTAGAAAAGAGAATGAAAAGATATAATGGGAATTTTAGGAAAAGAATATAAAAGGAAGAAGTGAGTTGTATAATTTTCCCAGACATAAAGAAATACCTGATTCTTGGGTTTGAAAATTATTCTGAGTCCTAAAATAGAATTTCTTGCACAACCAAATCACTTATATACATATATGCATATATATATATATATACACACACACACACCTATATATATATATATATATATATATATATATATTGGTGTGTGTGTGTGTGCATGTGTGTGTAATTTTTATGAAATATGGACTTCATTTCATACCATGAATAGAGGAACTTATTATAATAACATCTCTTAAAATTTCCACTTGGGGTAGAACTGGATCATTGGTCTATCTTTCTTCATTTTCTCTGGGCTCACCCGATCCATGCCTTTTCTCATTATGTCCACCTTACTAAGAATGCCCAATCTATCTCTAATGATTGGCTGAGTTCTGCCATCTCTTGGAAACCTCTTCTGACCACCCCAGGACAATGTCTCTGCTTTCTCTAAAATTTACAGTTTTACAGTGCTAAAGTCTCATTTAGTTGTTTGGCTAATGGTCTGTGTGCTTTTTAATTGGCTCTGGAAGCTCTTTCAAGATGAGAGCCTCATTCTGTGGGTTATCCTGTGACTTAATTTGTTCTAAAAAAAATGTTAGTTTATTACTTGAGGGTTAACTCTTCGAAGAGTTGTAGGAGTAACTTTGGGAGGAGCAAAGGATTCAAAGAAAGAAAGTGTGATAAAATCTTTATCTAAGAGCATTGTTATGGTTTAGATATGAGGTAGTCTCCCAGAAGCTCATGTGAGACAATGAGAGAAAGTTTAGGCATGAAATGATTGGGTAACGAGAACCTGAATCTAATTGGTGCAGTAGTCCTCTGATAGGTATTCATTGGGTGGTAACCTAGGTAGGGAGGGTATGGCTGGAGGAGTGCATTATCAGGGGTGTGCCTTTGTGGCATATATTTGGTCTCTGGTGAGTGAAGCTGTCTCTGATTCCTGGTGTCATGTCCTGAGCTATTTTTCTCCACCATGCTTTTCTGCCATGATATTCTTCCTCACCTTGTGCCCAAAGCAACGAGTCAATCATCCATGGACCGAGACCTCTGAAACCATTATCACCAAATAAACTCTTCCTCCTCTACAGTTGTTCTTGTCGGGTCGTTTGGTCACAGTGGCACACAAGCTGATTAAAACTAACAGGATGTTACTGAAGCTGCACCTGTACGAAAACAACAAATGCTTCTACTCTTACTACCATGACTACTACTGCTTCTACCACGGCTGCTGTCACAACTACTGTTACTACCAGTGTCCAACAAAGACCTTAACCTAAAACAAACCTCTGGAGCAGAATTTTCCCAGTGAAACTGCGGAGAAGTTGGTGGTGAAAGTAGGCAGAGGCAGGAATGTTAGAAAACAAGAGAAAGTGAAAAGAGGAGGGCTAGAGGAGAAGGGATACCGTGAGAGGGAAAGAAAAGGGAGACTGGGATTCACTCCCCAATGTGTAGAATACTGGATGGGGATGGGAGTGGGGGTGGGGGAAGTTAAAACAACAACAACAACCAAAAAAAAAAAAAACTGCAAAAATGGTGTCATGCATTTTATTTCCACAGGAGGGAAGACACTTAAGGCCCTCGGTTTTGTACAAGATGCAGAGACAGTTTGCTCAAGAGCAAGCTAAGAATGTTTCAGAAAACCTGAGCTGTCCATCTGCAAAGCCACTTCCCTGAAGAGGAAGCATCATTCTTTCAATGACCCAACTTCACTAGAATAATTGGGAACTATATCAGAGTTCCTGGAGGCCAAGAGTTCCTCAGGATACAGTTTGGATGGGAGCTAGAGCATGGATGAGCAGGTGGCTCAGCCAAAAACTGAGCATTTTGACTCTTTCCCTCAGTGTGATGAGTCTAAAGAAAAACCTGGGTCAATATCAACAAAACCACCAGATTGGCTATAACCCTGGATCCTTTCTCACTGACCCAGTTGGGATCATTTCCATAGCCTTTAATTTTTAACATCTTTAAAGGGAAGCTACCTTTAATCCCAAATTTCTCAGTTTGCTAGACTTAGTTCCTATCATTTTCTTCATCCAAAGTCAGATTGTTCTTCCCTTGGCTAATTTATTAACTAAGTTTTCTATATTGTGTGTGATGGCTCTTGATTCAAAATTTCCTGCTGAACACATCAATCTATCTTGTTGCTGACTTTCCAAATCCTGGCTCAATCAATCAAAAAACACTCGAATCCTTCTTGGCTTATCCTAAATTGCATTTGATACCAGTCCAACCTTATCTTCAATAAGCTCACCTAGGTAATTTGCATGTAACAAACAATTTAGGTCTTTCAATGATTATTTATAGGATGGCAAAGCCATAAATCAACCTAGAAATAGCCTGCTACCAGAGACCTTTTGCCTAAATAGGGAACAGGACCTGATAAACGAGTTAAAGTTAATTCTTTATCTCAAATTTAATTAGTTCTTTACAACTATGAGATTCTGTCATTTACAATTAACTGTTAAATTCAGATCATAGTACTATTTTTGATGTTCTGACATTAATGCTTTAATTCTTTTGAGTACATGATCACAAATTGGTGATATTTCTCTGCTATATTCTAATAGTTCTACTGTAAGTTTGTATGTGAATGGTACAGGGCTGAGACAGGAAACCCAGATTGTGTTCTGACTCTGCCATATAGTACCCATGAGTTATTGAATAATAGGACACCATTCTCCCAATTTTTCCACTTTAAATTGAAGAGGAAGGGTCCATGATTAGACTTCAAGAGCTCTATGACATTTGAAATGATATACAATATTTTAATGTTTTTTGAGCATTTTTTTGTCTATTACAGAAAGGTAAAGGAAAGGCCCATAGTTTTGATTAGAACCTATCTCTAACAACAAAAAGTTAGGAAACTATACATTAATGGTAGTAGTAGTATAACACTACTCTTATTTCAATATTTTAATAATGTAATTTGATTAATATTTATGTTCTCATGGAGATTTCTATTGTTTTTAAGAAGTCATAGTTTTATGAACTGAAATGTGTTTTCTAAATTGTACCTTTTCAGAGATGTTATGAGGAAGGGTAGGCTTTTTGGTAAACTATCCCGATATTGGTCATTTATGTGGAAAAATTAAATCCCTACCTCACACCATACAAAAAAATTTCAGATATACTAAACACCTCAATGTGAAAATCCAAAATTAGAAACTTTTGGAATATATGGGAGAATATCTAGCACTAGAACATTTCTAAATATAACAAAAATGATATATTAAAGAGAAAGACATTAATAAATTTTACCACATCATTGTTGCATTTCTGTATGAGGAAAGACTTCTAAACAAATTTTACAAACATCACAAACTAGTACAAGGCATTGCAAAAACTTGTAACATACAAAGTATTAATACTTTGTATATATTAAACATTTTTATGTATTCACAGGAAAAAAATACAAAGTATAGAAAATGTGGAACAGATTCCAAGAGGCAATACAAGATGAAGTTACTATAGATAGCCTTTCCTATTGATGTCCTTCTTGCCACCAACATGTTCTGCAATTTCTTAGTCCATACTGATTGTCATTTATTTTAAAATTTATTTTGTGACAGTTGCCATGGTTAACTATTTTATTTGGGTGACTCTTTTTATTAAATCTAAGATGGGGCATTATATTTTAAGATTTTAAATATGTCCATTAGCCTAGATACCCAGGAGAAACTCAATGAATCCTGCATGTTTATCTTTTTACATTTTAACATCTCTGAAAGTAAGATGCACATTGCAGTCTATGGCATTTCACAGTGTCATCCAGGGCAGTCCTCAAGGTATAGCTGCCTTTGCACAGCATGAACTTGGTCATTACTATTCATATTATCATCAGCTCCATTGAGTCATATGTATCATTGTCACTACATTTTTTTGAGTTTGTCAAATTAAAATATTACTTTAAAATATTACATTATGACTCAACATTGGTACACAAAGTCATAGTATAAGTAGAAGGCCCAGAAACAAAGTAGAGGGACAAAACTGATATCTGTAAAGCAAATATTTATCACTGCCAAATGGCCACATTCTACATTTTCTTGCACAATAAAGACCAGCCACTGTATGGGGTCATAGAAAGGAAGGGACCCAGATGAAGCTGTGGAAAATTCTGCCCCTACAGCACATGTAAAAGGACTGCCTACTGAGGTCAAGCAACACAGCCCAAGGCAGGAGGAATTGCCAAGCCTCTCTAAAGGAAATTCCAAGGCAACAAGGGGCTGAGGTGAATGACTGATGCTGCCTCTTATTCATTCAGAAAAATATCAGCATAAAAACCTGAAGAATGCATGGTAACAGCATGAAAGAAAATTCCAGACACTATATGGATTATTCTTTTAAGAACCATGGTCTCATTAGTGCATTTGCTGACAGAGATGTCATTGTGTAGGTATAAACAAATGTTGACCTAAAGTTGTCATGAAGACATTTTGAAAATGCCCTAACATTTGTGTGTGTGTACCAAATAGTGATAATTAATAAAAATCTAGTTAAATATGTCTAACAAAGAAGCATATTGAAAGAATATATAAAATATATATAAAGTAAGCAACTCTGTGATTTAAAAATTATGCTGTAGCTGTGTATAAATAAGGGTGCATCCCATGTATAGTGGAGGGAGTAGAAGTGGCTATTTTCATCAGGTTTTCCTTCTTCTGACACTAGACTGGCCATGCCTAGCTTGGATGCATCAAAAGTACTGATTCCAGGCCTCGCCCCATGAGACTGAGAAATCTACTTTTGTTCTCTTGGAACCCGGTCAGTATTTTCATCTGCTATTGAATTCACTTCTTTGTCTAGATTTGCTATCAAATGATGGGCTCATAAAATAAGTTATAAGTGATCCCTCTTTAGTATTTTAGAAGAATTTGAGAAGGGTTGATGATCTAACTCTTCTTTAAATCTTTGGTAGAATTCATTAGTGAAGTTTGGTTATTAATTTTGATTTGTTGATTTTTGATTATTGATTAAGTCTAAGGAGTTATAGATCTAGTCAGATTTTCTATTTCTTTATGATCTAGTCTTGGTAGATTGTGCATTTATAGGAATTTGTTTATTTAATTTAGGTTATCCCATTTGCTTATCATTGTTCACAATACTCCTTTATAATCATTTTTATTTCTTCAATGTTGCTAGTAATGTGTGCATTTTTATTTCAGATATTAATTTGAATCTTCTCTTTTTGCCTTGATCAATCTAACTAAAGTTTTGTCAACAGTAGTGTCCTTTCCAAAGAAACTATAGTTGATTTTTCTCTATTGTTTTTTTTTCTACATTCTATCTTATTTATCTCTATTTCAATCTTTATAATTTCCTTCCTCTGCTAGTTTTGGGTGTAGTTGTCTTATTTTTCTAGTTCCTGCATGTGTAAAGTTAACCTGTTAATTTGAGATTCTTCTACATCTTTAATGTGTCTATAGCTGGAAATTTCCCTCTTAGTATTGCTTTGGCTGCATTTATATGTTTTGGTTTTGTTTTCATTTATCTTAAGGTATTATTTAATTTCCATTGTGATTTCTTCTTTCGCTCAGTTCTTGTTTAATATTACATTATATAATTTCCACATTTGCAAATTTTCCAAGTTCCTTCCTACTATTTATTTCTGTTTTCTCTGTTATTAATTCTATTGTAATCAGAAAAGATATTTTGTATTTTTTAAAATGTTTCACAGAACTTGCTTTGAGGTTTAATTTATTGTCTTGGCTGGATACTATCCAATGTACACTTGAACAAAGCACGGGTTGTGCTGTCATTGCGTGGAGTGTTCAGTGTATGTTTGATAGGTCCAATTGATTTATAGTATTTCTAGATCCTCTATTTTCTTATTTATCGTCTGTCTGGTTGTTCTGTACCTTATTCAGAAATGGAATGGTAAAGTCTCCAACTATTATCATAGAACTGTCTATTTCTCCCTTCTGTCAAATTCTTTTTTGCCAGTGATGTCAATGTCTATTTTATATATTTTGGGTCTCTGATGGTTGATACATATATGCTTACAATTGTTATGTCTTCTTGTATGTTGCTCCTTTTATCAATAGGCAACATGCTCATTATACAAACCAGTTTTTTTACTTGAAATTTATTTTATCTATTACTAGTATAGCTACCCCAGCTTTCTTTGTTACTTTATTCATGAAGTGTCTTTTTCCATCTTTTCACTTTCTACCCATTTGTCTTTAGATGGATACTTGGGATTTTAGCAAATCCAGGATATATTTGGATCATGTTTTTTTTTTTAAAATACATATCACTAATATATTCTTTGTAGTTGGGAAATTTAATTGATTTATTTTAAAAGTAATTTCTTAAAAAGGACTTTTTCCATTTTGTAATTTGTTTTCTATATGTCATAGTATTTTTCTCCAACTCAATTATAGCTTTCTTTTATATTTTTTCATTTTTATAGTGTCACATTTTTTTATTCTCTTCTCATTTCTTTTTGTGTATATGCTATAGAATCATTTAGTGAACATGTATCATATAAAATCATAACATTATAACATTCTAATTTGAATTGATATTCACTCAACTTCATTCTCCTACAAAACATTTACTTCTTTAGGGTCCCGACCCCATTATATTATTAGCGTCACAAATTATATCTTTATGTATTGTGTATCTACTAATATAGATTATGATTGTTTTGCACTTTCTATAAATTCTATGGAATATAAAAGGTGGAGTTAAACACTAAAATTCAGTAATACTGGTTTTTGTATTTGCCTATGTATTTACTGTAACTGCTTGATGTCCTTTTATTTCAATCTGAAGTTCTTCCTTTAGCATTTCTTATAGTGCAGATCTAGTGCTTAAAAACTCTCTCAGCTTCTGTGTATATCAGAATATCTTAATTTCTCCCTCATTTGGAGGAACAGGTTTGTTACATATGGAATTTTTGTTAAAAATGTGGTTTTTTTTGATTTTAGTACTTTATATCATTTCACCTATTCTGATATACAAGATTTCTGCTAAGAAGTTGGTTGATGATATTATTGAGGATCCCTTGTATCTGAAAAGTTGCTTTTCTCTTGTTGCTTTCAAGATTTTATGGCTTTGTCTTTCAAAAGCTTGATTATACTGTGTAGGTCTTTTTTTTTTTAATCATCCTATTTGGAATTTGTTGACTTTTTTGTATTTATAGATATTTTTAGCCATTATTTCTTTAAACAATCTCTTTTCTTTTCCTATAACCTTCATAGAACGCATGTTGTTATGTTTAGTGCTATCTAAAACATCTTTTATATTTTGTTCATTTTTCTTTCTGCCCCTCAGACTCAGAATTTCAATACTCCTGTCTTCATGTTCACCGATTCTTTCTTCTGCTTGCTCCAGCCTGCTGTTAAATCTCTGCAGTGGTGACTGCAATTAAGTTATTGTCTTATTTCGGCTCCAGAATCTGCTTGATTTCTCTTAATAATTTCCATCTGTTGATACTTTTGTTTTGTTTATATGTTCTTTCACTGACTTCATGTAATTCTTTGTGTTTTCCTTTAGCTCTTTGATCATATTTAAGGCAGCTGTTCTGAAGTCTTCATCTAGTAAGTTTGATGCCTGTGTTCCCTCAGAAAGGTTTCTACTTATTCATTTTGTTCCTTTGAATGTACCATGTTTTGCTAGGCTTGTTGTTGTTGTTGTTTGCCTTGTGATTTTGTTGTTGTGGTAGTAGTTGCCAAATGTCAAACGTTTGAAAAAGCAGTCACTCCTCCCAGTCTTTGCATATTGGCTTTGTACCCAGGCATTCATTCACTAAAGAGCAGGTTATGCTCTGAGAATAGGAATCGGCCTAAGATGTAATTTCAAGGTCTTTCCAGCTCTATTCTGAGCATGCATTTTACCTGAGCTTACATGTGGCATTCTCAATTCTCAATTCCTCTGTATATACTTCCCCTGCTTTTGGATGTCTTCATTTCCCAGAGTCTTACCCCAGATTCTCCTTATGACCTCAGACTGTTTCTTGCATATCTCTGCCCATGGATTCTTGCCCAGTATTCTGCAGGTTGACAGCCTCTGTGCAGCTTTCACAAAAGCTCTTGCTTTTCCCCACCTAGAAGTTGAGTTAGGCAAGGTAGAACCTGGTTCTTCAAGAAGCACCCCTATAAATTAGAACAGTGCAAGCATGGTCTGCTCTGCTCCCCCTGGCTCAAGGGAAGGAACTGAGCTACAGTCTCCTCATAACCTAAACTGTGCCATCCCAAAGAGGGGCTAAGGCAAGGATGAGTAAAATTCCATGAAATATCCTATCATTTTGCACGTGGCCTTCTCTTTCTCAGGTATTTTCTTGCTCACTGTAGACGTTTTCCATTTTTCCTCTGAGCTCCTCTATATAAGGTTAGTTCAGTTAGTTTCTGGTTAGTTTTTTTTTTATATATATTTTCAAAGGGGCAAGGGGATTTGAATTTCCTGACATTACTACTACCTCTTCCTGCTTTTCAAACGAGAGCATCCAGTGAAGTTATACAATTTCTGCCTCAAAATTGTATGTAGCATTTCAGGTCAGTTAACTTGTTTGTTTAGTTCACAGATTATCTAAATCAAGAATGTTGCACCTAGGAGCCTCATGGTCATCTGAATCTGATGCAGATTATGAGATATAAACTTTGACCTCCCACCATATTGGAATGGACTTTTGAGAGAAAGGCATGTAGTTTGTATGTGAAACAGATATGAGATGTAACATGGTAGACCATCTTCAAAGACGGCCAATAAGAGGTTTTTTTTTTTTTTTTTTTTTCCCTTATCCATATACTCCTCTCCTTCTCCTGAGAGGTTTATTTCCCCTGCCCTTGATCTATGATGGTCTTGTAACTTGCTTAGACCAATAGAATGCTGTTGAAATGGTGTTCTTGAACTTCAAAACAAAGAAGATCTTGTAGTTTCCACTTTTAACTTTTAATTTATTCATCATTTGAAGAATCTTAGGTTAAGTCATAAATGTCTGGAGACACAGATTAAGTACAAAAGCACCAAGGGATCCAAGATAAGCTTCATCCAAATGCAGCCACACACATTATACCCATTTGCATGGTGTAAGCAAACAGTATTTGGATGAGCCCAGCTAACAGCAGTTCTTAGCCTCCCCACAAGTCCCAATCAAACTTCAGAATCATAAGCAAACAAAAATATGGTTATTTTTCTTTTAAATTACCAAGTTTGTATGCGGAGGCAGGATGGTTAGGAACAATGGTTATCTAGCATTCCTATACTCTTTTCTGAGATAACTAGTTAATAGTTATTTTCATGAGTAATTGGACTATAAGCAATTTTCACCTACATAGTTGATCTTATGAACTAGCCACTATTTAAAATGAGACTCTTTCCTGTATCCCCATGTCT